AGATTAAGAACTATTGACACACACAGAAATATGGATGGGCCTCAAGAAAATTATACTTAGTGAATAAACTCAGTCTCAAGAACTTAAATATTGTATGATTTCATTTCAATAATCTTGAAATGGAAAAAATAATGGGGAGGGAGGACAAATGAGTGGTTACCAGGAGACAGAGATAGGGTTGGTGGTGAGGTGTTACTATGAGGAGGTAGCATGAAAGAGTTTTATGTGGTTATGAAACTGTTCTGTCTCTTGATTATGGTAATGGTTACAGAAACATATACATAGGATAAAGTTGTATGCAACTAAATACACAAATAAATGCAGAATAAAATATGAAAAACACTAAAAAAGGTCTGTGGTTTAATTAACTATAATGTTCCACTGTCAATTTCCTGGTTTTGATATTGTGCTCCATCTGCACAGACTTAACCATTGGGCAGTTGGATGAAAGATACATCAGCCTCTATCTTTGCAGCTTCAAGGAATTTTGAGTGAATCTATAGTTACTTTAAAATATAAAAACAAGAACACTTTACAGGGCTTGAAAAGTTAAAAAATACATATTGAAGTGTTAAACAAGATAAATTATATTTAGATATTCATTTCTATGTTTAAAAATTATCCAGAAAACAGTTATTGGGAACATTAAAATCAATAAATGTGTTACATCCATGCATGGAGAACGAGGGGAGGAAGCTACTGGAGTATTTATTTTATTTTTCATATCAAGGGAGCACAGCGAGAGAGAGAAATAAATTATGTCTAAAGTAAAAGAAACCATGAAAAAGTTCTAAGGTGATGAAAAAGAAGAAGGGGTCCTTGAGTTGACAACTCTGTACAGCAATGGAGGGTGATTAGGCTGGGCATCTCCAGACTCCTTCAAAATGATAAACTGGAATATGAGTCAATGTGTTTAAGAGATTTAGAAAACTAGTGGAGAGTATGGGATTAAAATCAAACAAAACCAAAAGAAGAATAAAAAAGACACAATTGGGGGGGGAGGGGACAAATTATTAAATGGCTCAGTTCTGATAGCATACATAGTCATAAAAATACAAATAAGTACATGTCTCTCTGCCCCAAATTATGAGCTTTAATAGAGAGAATGGATAAGGGAAATGTTCATGTGTGTGGTGATTGGGTGTTGGAAAAGGGAAGGTTAAATCTCTATCTTCCATAGTAATATCAGTGTTTCTCAACTTTTTTCACATAAAGGCACTCAGAAAATATGTGTCTGGGACATTGCTAAATTAGAGGCATTTAGAGTTCCAAATGGGGTTATTTGCTACTCAAGATAATTTTGTATAACTAGTTAATTTTTTAAACCATGTGAACTATGATTATTGAAACCTTAAAAACTATCTACAGCAGACCTTTGGACAACAGGGGGGTAGGGATGCCAATAATAATGCAATAAAAAATCCACATGTAACTTTTGACTCCCCCAAAACTTTTGTCATCCTTCAGTATCTACAGGGGATTGGTTCTAGAACCCACCACACACACATAGCAAAAGTGATAAAGTCCCTTATATAAAATGCCACAGAACAATGCATACAATTGGCCCTCCACATTGTGGATTCCCAACTGCAAATGGAAAATACTGTTTTTCATCTGCAGCTAATCAAATCCACAGATGTGAAACTCAGTGATACAGAGGGATGACTGTATATTTATTGAAAAAAATATGTATAAGTGAATCTGCACAGTTCAAAGCCATGTTGTTCAAGGGTTTACTGCACTTTTGTTTCATATGTGACAAGGTAAGTTAATATATTAAAAGGAAAAATAATACATCAACATATATTAAATAATATTTCTTCTCCCTTTATCATTCATCAGGGATGTGATAGGAAGAAGTATGGCCTCCAAGAAAAGTCCATCCCCTTATTCTCAGGACTGTGAATATGATATCATACCTATGACTATATTAGCTTAAATGGCAAGAGAAACTTTATAGATAAAATTAGTAAATTTACTTTAAAATAGGGAGATTATTCTGGAATATTTGAGTGGGTCCAATGTAATCACAGGACACCTTAAAAGTAGAAGTTTGAGAAGGATTTAATCAGCAATGGATTAAAGATGAAGGGGACCACATGAGAAGAAATGCAGGCGGTTCTAGAAGCAGAGAATACCACCCCACCCCACCAGCTGACAGAGGGCAAAGAAACCTACAGCTGTAAGAAACTGAATTCTTCCAACAATGAATGAGCTTAAGGAGGATCCCAAGCCCCAGAACCACAGATCTGGCCAGCTCTATGATTTTAGCTAAGTGAGAATCAGCAAATAATCTAACCAGGTTGTCCAGTACTTCTGACCTACAGAAACTGAAATAATAAATTTGTGGTGTTTTAAGCAGCTACATTTTTGGTAATTTGTTGTATATCAATAAATAATACAAGACTGAGCAAGATTTGAAGTTTTTTGCCTTAGTTACTATTATTCAGATTAGGGTAACTTCTATGATAAACAATTTCATGTTTTCCTTGGACTATTACCATAGGTCACAATCCAATGGAATGATCAGCAATGGATTTAATCTCTGCAATTATTTACGGGCCAGGTTTAATTCTCTAAACATTTGAGCACCTTTGGGTCCTGGATTCTCTGCATCTGGTCAGGGCCTGAGAAATTATGAGAACAATGCAGAGGGTTTAGGGATCAAACCTGGAAGTGGTGAGCATCACTTCAGCAGCACTTCACTGGTGATAGTCACCTTCTCACCAACTTAGATGCAAAGGGGATGGAAAGTGTAATCTAGCTATGGGATATGTAATTCAGCAAATGGAAGTGCCTATGTGAATAATGAGCTCATTTCTCCCATGTGCTCTTGGGAATTGTAGGGGTAAGGTGGTAGCATTGGAAAATAATTCTTCCCAATTTTACCAAAATAAAAAGCCTAATAGATTTTAGGAAAGACCTATTATGTTCAGAATAAGACAGTTTTTTAAAAGTACATTACTTTTAAGTAAATCATGAATGCTCTGGCTCCCTATAGCCTTTCTCACCTGGTCTTATAAACAGCTACTTCACACATTGTATTCCCTTGTTGGTTCCTAGATATCTGATTTTGTCAACTCTGGACCCAAACTCATTGACAGGACTGTATTAGATATCTCAGAAAGAGGAGGTAAGGGAAAGAATGCCTGAAAAGTAGAGAGAGAAAAATGGAATTCTTGCAGATTGGAAAGGCGACTATGGGTCTAAAAGACATGAGGGGCTTCTGACTTTCTCCCTAGCATCATTCACAGTGGGATGAAAAAACTCAGAAATTATTTTTTAAATATTCTTACATTTTCACATTGTAAGTTTATACCCTAGGAGGCACTGTATTCTTACAATAATAAAAGAAAACCCCTATCTTCCAAGTGTGATACAGAAGCATCAAGTTGATAGGACAATGCCAACTGTGACAATGAGTTTCTCAGTGGTAAATGGTGTGGATGCCTTAGTGATGACAGGAATCATCTCTCCAATGACTTTGTACTATTTAAGACCCCAGAACCCTTGTGCATGTGTGCATAAATGTGTGTGTGTGTGTGTGTGTGTGTGTGTGTGTGTGTGTGTGTGTGTGTTGGATGGGTATGGTGATGAATGGACAGGAATGAGTACATGGGTTGGATTCTTAAAGAATTTGATTAAAAATTGAAAATATTTATTTCCTGAACACCTATGTGTGTAGATCAAAAGTTAAAACCATTATACAAGCACCATGCAAATGTGTGCTAATCTAGCAGAAGCAAAAAGGGGAATTATCAGTATTATTTAGGGGAATTGGAATACAAAGTGGCAACCATTCACAAACTGGAGGCAACTCATGTAGGGCTCTTACCAAGATGGAACCACCTTGGGAAGCTCAGAAGACTAATCCTTACTACAGTGACAAAGACAGGGGACATATAACCAGTCTCTCTAACTCTACTCTATGCCTCATTATTTTGCTACACATAACTTCACTGATCTCTAGGTGGAGGGTTCAGTCTCCCATTTATGCTTTTAAAAATGATTTATCGAATGCTTGCTGGAAGCAAGCCTTTGTGCAGAATTCTGTAGAAGACAGATATGACAGTCGGGGCTTATTCACAAGAACATAAGAGAACTACAAGAGTGTATATGATTTCATAAAAGAAGGAAGTTTGTGAGAGGTCCCCTGGAAATACTTATTTTAGACTTTTTGAAACAGGGAGAGAAAAAACAAGCCAACAAGGGTGATGAAGGTCACAGAGAGGAGGATGATTAACAATTCCAAATGTATCAAAGTGATCAAGGACAATGAGGATTGGAAAATGTAATTGGGCTTGGAAGATGGAGGGTAACTGATGGCTTTTGTTCACACAATTTTCTCTGACTACTGAGGATGAAATTATATGTCATGAGGGTTGAGAAGTTAGAAGCAGTGAGTGCAGGCATATGGAAAGGATCTAGAGTTTCACTCATTACAGTCTTTCATACTTTGATGGCATCTGCATTCTCTATCCTTCTCTACCTCCTACTTCCCCATCTCTAGGTGTGTTTTATTCTCTCCCTATACCACATTATGTCCTCATTACCATGTTATCCCATTAATAATTAAACAAACTTAGAGTATATATCCTCAACATAGATTTGGGGAGGAGGGATTAAATTGGGTAATTGGGAACAGCAAAATAGAGGAATGGTGGAATTGATTTTTGTTCTTTGCTGACTCTTTTGGTTCTTTAGCCCTTAGAGCCTGCATAGACTTCCTCCTGGTTGATGTGCTAAGCCCCTATAATACATAGAGGAAAAGGCAAAAAATATCAACACCATAGAAAAATAGGTCCACTAAATATTAAGTTGTAAAATGAATTGCTGATCATAAATTGAAACACTAACATTGATAACAAAGAATTTAAATGTGAATTATTCCTTTACCCCCAGAAAGTTCTGAAATAGTATTAATATTTGTTGTCATTTTTTTTATTTAAGGACAAATCCTTTGAGTGTTCTGCATGCCCTACATTTTCTGGTGAGTGAATAAGCTAGCAACACCACTTGAGAATACAGGAGGTGACTATATTGTTTTCCCCCAATCTGGTTCCATATTTGGGAGCAGTGTGGTATTTGGGTAGATTCTGCAAGTTAGTCAGAGTCTTCAGATTGCTGTTGATCCTTTGGATAACATGAGGTTAAGGTTGGATCTTCTTTGTATGAAGTTGAACTAATTGAAGTATTTTGTTGCACATCTTGTTCTGAGCCTTCACAGGTGGAAGATTCATCTTGTACTGAACTTTGGCAGGAGGAATGATGAAATTCTGGCTTCATATCTTCTGATAGCGCATCACTTGAATTTTGGCATAGACTTTTCATTTCTACCAATCTGATGTCTTTTGTTTGTATAGTGCTTATTTGCATATTGTCTTTTGTTGGTCTAGTATTTATTTGCATATCTTCTTTTTTGATAGCTGTGCATCGAAAGTTCTGTTGGTGATGTTGAGGTATGGTGTGCAAAGCTTTGGTCTCTTTGAATATAACTTTCTGCATTAGGAATTCTTTCTCTAATATATCTTGGGTTTGCGTGGAGTGGGATTCCCAACTTATGGAACGTTTCATTTCAAAATTGCTTTCTTGTGCTTTATGATCTTTGTTTATCCATTCTTGAGTTTCCCAGTCTTGGGATTGTTGGCCTAAAGATTGCCAGTCTTGTTGTTTCTGAATTTGGGATTGCAGATGTTCACCTAGCTGCTTTGAGGATTTCTCCTCTTGAACCTGCAGGTCTTGAGTTTGTTGAAATTGGATTTGTTTTTTAAGGGATTTCTCCTCTTTGCCGTGCTGGTTTTCACCTTGCAAGTTTTGGTATTGTTGCTTTAGGGATTGCTTTCCTTGGGCCAGCTGGTCTTCAGTTTGCTGATCTGAGAATTGCTTAACTTGAACTTGCTTATCTTGCTTATCTATGGAGTGCCTCTTTGGGGATAGCCAGCCTTTGATTTGCTGGTCTAAGGATTTCTTCCTTGGGGGTTGCTGGTCTTGGATTGGTAAGTCCATAGATTTCTTTCTTGAATGTTTGTTATGCAGGTTGAAGGAAATCTGCTTGGTGGATTTCCTGATTTGGTGGTGTTTCTCTTTAAATTTCCATTCTTCAGTCAGTAACTTGACTTCTGATTGAAGGTCTTGATATGATACCCTTGTAAATTGCTGGTCTTGATGTTGGATATTTTGAAGTTGAAGATCCAGGGATTGCTGTTCTAGGTGTTGTACATTAATGGCCTGCATAGCATGGAATGTTTGGGCTTCAATTTGCATGGTTTCGGATAACAGGTCTTGTGTGACATGGAATGTTGGGGCTTCATATAGCATGGATTGTGGCAGAACTTGTACTCGGGAAAGCATATCTTGGGAAGGCATGTTTTGAGATTGTATGTCCTTGGATTGTGTGTTTTGGGGTGACATATCTTCAGATACCAAGTCATGAGACAAGAATGTTGGGGCTTCATATAGTATGGCTTGTGGCAGAACTTGTACTTGGGAAAGCTTATCTTGGGAAGGAGAAAAGAATGTTGGGGTTTCATATAGCATGGATTGTGGCAGAACTTGTACTCGGGAAAGCATATCTTGGGAAGGCATGTTTTGAGATTGTATGTCCTTGGATTGTGTTTTTGGGGATTGTATGTTTGGGGGTGACATCTCTTCAGATACCAAATCATAAGACAAGAATGTTGGGGCTTCATATAGCATGGATTGTGGCAGAACTTGTACTCGGGAAAGCATATCTTGGGAAGGCATGTTTTGAGATTGTATGTCCTTGGATTGTGTGTTTTGGGGTGACATATCTTCAGATACCAAATCATGAGACAAGAATGTTGAGGCTTCATATAGCATGGATTGTGGCAGAACTTGTACTCGGGAAAGCATATCTTGGGAAGGCATGTTTTGAGATTGTATGTCCTTGGATTGTGTGTTTTGGGGTGACATATCTTCAGATACCAAATCATGAGACAAGAATGTTGGGGCTTCACATAGCATGGATTGTGGCAGAACTTGTACTCGGGAAAGCATATCTTGGGAAGGCATGATTTGAGATTGTATGTCCTTGGATTGTGTGTTTTGGGGTGACATATCTTCAGATACCAAGTCATGAGACAAGAATGTTGGGGCTTCATATAGTATGGCTTGTGGCAGAACTTGTACTTGGGAAAGCTTATCTTGGGAAGGAGAAAAGAATGTTGGGGCTTCACATAGCATGGATTGTGGCAGAACTTGTACTCGGGAAAGCATATCTTGGGAAGGCATGTTTTGAGATTGTATGTCCTTGGATTGTGTGTTTTGGGGTGACATATCTTCAGATACCAAGTCATGAGACAAGAATGTTGGGGCTTCATATAGCATGGATTGTGGCAGAACTTGTACTCGGGAAAGCATATCTTGGGAAGGCATGTTTTGAGATTGTATGTCCTTGGATTGTGTGTTTTGGGGTGACATATCTTCAGATACCAAATCATGAGACAAGAATGTTGGGGCTTCATATAGTATGGCTTGTGGCAGAACTTGTACTTGGGAAAGCTTATCTTGAGAAGGAGAAAAGAATGTTGGGGCTTCACATAGCATGGATTGTGGCAGAACTTGTACTCGGGAAAGCATATCTTGGGAAGGCATGTTTTGAGATTGTATGTCCTTGGATTGTGTGTTTTGGGGTGACATATCTTCAGATACCAAATCATGAGACAAGAATGTTGGGGCTTCATATAGCATGGATTGTGGCAGAACTTGTACTCGGGAAAGCATATCTTGGGAAGGCATGTTTTGAGATTGTATGTCCTTGGATTGTGTGTTTTGGGGTGACATATCTTCAGATACCAAATCATGAGACAAGAATGTTGGGGCTTCATATAGTATGGCTTGTGGCAGAACTTGTACTTGGGAAAGCTTATCTTGAGAAGGAGAAAAGAATGTTGGGGCTTCACATAGCATGGATTGTGGCAGAACTTGTACTCGGGAAAGCATATCTTGGGAAGGCATGTTTTGAGATTGTATGTCCTTGGATTGTGTGTTTTGGGGTGACATATCTTCAGATACCAAATCATGAGACAAGAATGTTGAGGCTTCATATAGCATGGATTGTGGCAGAACTTGTACTCGGGAAAGCATATCTTGGGAAGGCATGTTTTGAGATTGTATGTCCTTGGATTGTGTGTTTTGGGGTGACATATCTTCAGATACCAAATCATGAGACAAGAATGTTGGGGCTTCATATAGTATGGCTTGTGGCAGAACTTGTACTTGGGAAAGCTTATCTTGGGAAGGAGAAAAGAATGTTGGGGCTTCACATAGCATGGATTGTGGCAGAACTTGTACTCGGGAAAGCATATCTTGGGAAGGCATGATTTGAGATTGTATGTCCTTGGATTGTGTGTTTTGGGGTGACATATCTTCAGATACCAAATCATGAGACAAGAATGTTGGGGCTTCATATAGTATGGCTTGTGGCAGAACTTGTACTTGAGAAAGCTTATCTTGGGAAGGAGAAAAGAATGTTGGGGCTTCACATAGCATGGATTGTGGCAGAACTTGTACTCGGGAAAGCATATCTTGGGAAGGCATGTTTTGAGATTGTATGTCCTTGGATTGTGTGTTTTGGGGTGACATATCTTCAGATACCAAATCATGAGACAAGAATGTTGGGGCTTCATATAGTATGGCTTGTGGCAGAACTTGTACTTGAGAAAGCTTATCTTGGGAAGGAGAAAAGAATGTTGGGGCTTCACATAGCATGGATTGTGGCAGAACTTGTACTCTGGAAAGCATATCTTGAGAAGGCATATTTTGATATTGTACGTCCTTGGATTGTGTGCTTTGGGGTATCATATCTTCAGATACCAAGTCATGAGACGAGAATGTTGGGGCTTCAAATAGCACGGCTTGTAGTGGCGGCAGAACTTGTACTTGGGAAAGCTTTTCTTGGGAAGACATGTTTTGTAATTGTATATCTTGGTATGGCATATCTTGGGAAGACATGTCTTGGGATGGTGTGTTTGAAGATGGTATCTCTTGGGATGGCATATCTTCAGTTTCTGTGTCATGAGACTGTGTAACATGGGATGGTGGGGTTTCAGGTATTGGGACTTTTACTAACAGAACTTGAGATGACAAGTCAGGTTGTGGTAATGCTTCAAGACTTTTTACAGAATCGGATGGAAAATCTTGGGGTGTCAAGGAGTTAGCCTGCATTGATTGTGTTTGCATTTCTGGAGGTTGTTCGATAGCAAAATGTAGGTCTTCATCATTTATGTGTTCATTGTGTCCAATTTCTTCTGAGAGCCTTTTCTCTAATATGACAGACAAAGGTTGCTGCTCAGTATCAGTCTCGTAAGGTCTTAAAGAAGGAAGGATATTTTTCTGTTGTTCATCTGACTCAGATGAAGTTGTGTAGCAATTATTACTGCCTCTCTTTTCTGAATGATGGATGGTTAAGGGATTTCTTGAGACTCTTAATTTGAAGAAAGTATAGCCTCCAAAGAAAACAGGTTGCATCTTTGCTATTGATTCATCCTTGAAACACTCTTCTTGAAGGTCAAATTGTATTATAGCATCTTCTTCTGTTGTAGATAATTCATTCTTTTGAGTAACATCCAAAGGCAAGAAAAAGACAATCTATAAAACCAAGGGGTGGGGTAAACATTAATTTAACAATCGTCTTTGATGTTTTCCTTTTTGTATACCCAAATTATTTTCATCTCTGCCTTAAGACAGACAGGGACTAACAACTACATGAGGAATAAGAAAATGAATACCAGTACTGTCTTTATCATCAACTGATTGGTTTTATTTTGGACAAGTTATAACCATCTATTATCTCAAATATTGAATAGGAGAATTTGATTAAGATAATCTGAAAGTCTTCCCATAACTTAACATTATAAATCCTATAAAGCATTTTAATTTATCCAGTCAATATTCATATACTCGGTTTATTTATTTATTGATCACCGAGATGATGGAGATCAAAAATAATTAGATGTGGGTTTTCCCATAAGGTGCTCACAATTATAGGTAGACCAACATATAAATAGATAACAATATAGTTTAGCAAATACTATTATGTAAATAGCTACTAAGTGCTTTATGGGAACGCAGAAGATACTCTAATTCTGAGAGAGCCAGGAAATGCTTCATAGAAGAGGTGGTATTTGATCTATATTTTGATAAGTAAAAATTTGTCAGGGAAATAACAAAACATGAAATAAGATAGGAGTCAAAATCCACATTGAGCAAACAATGGGTACAAAATCATATGTAGCATATGACTTGTGATGTAGCATAGTGTGATGGCAGATGGTAAATATTTAGATGGTATAGTAGATATAAACTAAATGTTTCTATGTGTCATAATGGATATATGGAAATAAAAATTTTAAATACCATGTAAATGACAATAAAAATCATGAAATACTTACGGAAAACTTTAACAAAATATGCACAAGACTTATCCACTGAAAACTACAAAATATTGCTGAGAGAAATAAAAGATGTAATAAAATGTAGACATATTCAACAGACATGAATAAGAAGACTAAAAAGTCTCAATAAATAAATTTCCCCTAAATTATGTATAGGTTCAATGCAACTCCAATAATAATCCCAGCAACATTTTTTGTGTTTTATGGTACAGAGTTTGTATTGGAATGATGAAAAAGTTTGGGGCATAGATAATGGTGATGATTATATTCATTATGAATGTATTTAATTCCACTGAATTGTAAAGTTAAATGGTTAAAATGATAAATAGTATATTTATTTTATCACAATGAGAAGGAATTACTCTAAAGTTTCAGATATTAAGAGAGTGTGGAATATGTGGAAGAATACATAGATCAATGAAAAAAATAAAAGTGTTCAAAGAGACCTATAAATAAGAGGTCAATTGATTTTCACAAAGGTGCCAGGGTAATGGGGGAAAGCATTGCATTTTCAACAAACAGGGCTGGAACTCTCCATGGTGGTAAATGTGTGTTTGTGTGTGTGGGAGGAGGGGAGGTGCATGAATGTCTAACCTTACCTCACAACTATACATAAAATTTAACCAAGTCAGCAATGGAAGAAATGTTAAAAGGACTGCTGTAAAAATAAGAAATAGAAAAGGAAGAAGAAACATAGGCATAAAGAATAAAAATGGCAACAAACAAGTACCTATCAATAATAAATTTAAATGTAAATGGATTAAATGCTCCAATCAAAAGACATAGAGTGGCTGAATAGATAAGAAAACATGACCCATATATATGTTGTCTACAAGAAACCCACCTCATAACAAAGGATGCACACAGACTGAAAGTGAAGGGATGGAAAAAAAAAATTTAGGCAAAGAGAAAGGAAAAAGAAAGCTGGGATAGCAATACTTATATCTGACAAATTAGACCTCAAAGTGAAGGCTGTAACAAGAAGGAAGGCCACTTCATAATACTAAAGGGACTGATACAACAAGAGGAAATAACTATGATAAACATACATGCACCCAATGCAGAAGCACCTAAATACATAAATCAACTTCTGAAAGATATCAAGGGAGAGATTGGCAGCAATAGAATCATAGTAAGGGTCTTTAATACCTCATTGACATCACTGGATAAATCTTCTAGACAAAAAAAAATCAACAACAGCAATCCTAAACAACTCACTAGATCAGATAGAGCTAATTGACATCATCAGAACATTTCACCTGAAAGAAATACACATTCTTCTCAAATGCACATGGGACAATTTCAAAGATAGACCACATATTAGGACACAAATAAGTCTCTTCAAATTCAAGAGGATAGAAGTCATATCAAGCATCTTCTCATATCTCAATGGCATAAAATTAGAAGTCAATTATAATAAAAATAATTTTTTAAAAAAAATCAAACACTTAGAAGCTAAACAGCATGCTATTAAACAATGATTGGGTTACCAAAGAGGTTAAAAAAGAAATAAGAGCATCCTGGAAACAAATAACAATGAAAACGCAACAATCCAAAATCTATGAGACATAGTGAAAGCAGTCCTGAGAGGGAAGTTCATCACTCCACAGGCCTACCTCAAAAAACAAGAAACACTGGTAATAAATTATCTAACCCTACAACTTAAAGAATTAGAAAGAGAGCAACAAGAAAAGCCCAGAGTAAGCAGAAGGAAGGAAATAATAAAGACCAGAGCAGAAATAAATGACATAGAGACAAAAAAAAAAAAAGTTCAAAAGACCAATAAAACCAAGGATAAACAAGATGGATGGACCTCTAGCCAGGCTCACCAGGAAACAGAGAGAGAACACAAGTAAACAAAATCAGAAATGAAAGACCCCACAAACATACAAAGGACTGTAGAAAAAAAATACTACAAACAACTCTACTCTGACAAACTGGACAACAAACAAAATGGACATATTCCTAGAAAAATACCATCTTCCAAAACTCAATCAAGAAGAATCAAAAAACCTGAATAGGCTGATAACTACAGATGAAATTGAAGCAGTATTCAAAAAACTTCCAGCAAACAAAAGCCCTGGGCCAGGCGGCTTTACAGAGGAGTTTTACCAAAGATTCAAAGAACTAATACCTATCCTCCTCACTCTATTCCAAAAAATTCAAGAGGAAGGCACATGCCCAAGCTCTTTCTATGAGGCCAGCATAACCCTAATCCCAAAACCAGATAAAGACACTACAGAGAAAGAGAATTCCAGGCCAATATTGTAATGAATATAAATGCTAAAATCCTCATCAAAATTCTAGCAAATTAGATCCAGCATTATTTGAGAAAGATCATACACCAGCCTTTCAGGTGGTGACAACCTCCCCATGACAATATGCCTGTGAGTTCCTTGGTGCAGGTTTCAGCAGAGATCTTGCTCTTCTGTCCACATGCTTCCTTCACACTGGTTTCGGATTGCAGAGGGCCTCACTTGCCCTCCGAATTGCCTAGGTCACCGTGGTCGGCAAACTGCGGCTCGCGAGCCACATGTGGCTCTTTGGCCCCTTGAGTGCGGCTCTTACTAAGCCTTAGGAGTACCCTAATTAAGTTAATAACAATATACCTACCTATATAGTTTAAGTTTAAACAATTTGGCTCTCAAATAAATTTCAATCATTGTACTGTTGATATTTGGCTCTGTTGGCTAATGAGTTTGCCGACCACTGGCCCTAGGACATTAACCACAGGGACTGCAGAGGCCTGCAGAGGTGGGAGGCGGGGGCTGCATAGATGGGAGCTAAGAGGAGATAAGATGGCAGTCCAGTTGCACAAACACCAGGCCCAGCCAGGGGCAAGCTCTCCCAGCTCGGAAAGGATCTCCTCCATCCCTCTCCAGAAGAGGAGAAGAGGAAACACAAGAAGTAGTACCTGGTGCAGAGTCCCAATTCTTACTTCATGGATGTAAAATGCCCGGGATGCTGTAAAATCACCACCGTCTTTAGCCATGCACAAACAGTAGTTTTGATTGCTACTGTGTTGATTGCTCCCCTGTTCTCTGTCAGCCAACAGGAGGAAAAGCAAGGCTTACAGAAGGATGCTCCTTCAGAAGGAAGCAGCACCAAAATCAGCTCAAATCAAGATGAGTTGGAAACCATCCCAATAAACACATTTTGGATACAAAAAGAAGAAGGAGGAGGAGAAGGAGAAGGAGAAGAAGAAAGATCATACACCGTGATCAAGTGGGATTTATTCCAGGGATGCAAGGTTGGTACAATATCCTTGAATCACTAAACATTATACATCACATAAACAAATTGAAAGACAAAAATCACATAATCAGAAGAGAAAGATGGCAGCTGGAAGGACGGAGGTGAGGGATAGGAAGTGACTGAGTGAGGGGATGGAAGGAGAGTGTGTGGATGTGTGTGGTGTGTGTGTGAGTGAGGGAGGGACAGTTAAATCTGGCAGAAGCAGCAGAGGCTGGCAGACCAAGCTCTCTTGGACAGGGAGAGACTACCACCACTGCAGGCACCCCCCAGATTGCAGGACTCAGGCACGGAGCCATCTTGAAGGGGAGAGTGGCCTCTCCTAGGAACTCATCAGCACCACCACCCAGACAGGCCTTGGACACTGCCCGCGACCCAGCAGCCACTCCAGCCAAAATCCTGCTGCCCCACCCACAGCCCTGTGGACCCTGGGACCTCCACCTCCAAAGGTGCACCACTCCCACAGCAATAAGCGCAACTTCCCCCCTCCTTGGCGGCAGAATGCCAGACACCACATTCTTCCATTTCCAATATTCTCGCGTTTCCAACATCCACGCATTTCCAGCGCGCAGACTTCCAGGGCACACCACTACGTAGGCAGTTCTTGGATGGCGCTGTGAACCCCTGCTGGGTGTGATTTTGAACAGACAAGGGCACGCTGCCCCGCAGTAGAAATTCTGAATTCCCTCTTCCTGAATAAATGCTCACAGACAACCTACCTAAGCATCTTTAGCACCAGGGCCCCTCAGAGTGTGTCAGAGCTCTGCGCTGGCAAACTCACTGCCACAATCATGCATTTCCAATGAGTAGGCACCCAGAGCCCATTTATCCACAGGGCGCTCGGGAGCCCCTGCCAGCCCCTGCTAGGTGCAATCTTGAACAAACAGGGACGCACTCTCCCCAGCAGTAGAAATTCTGAACTCACTCACCCTGGATACCTGC